TCAAAGCTAGTGCTACTTATATTTATATTAACTTTCTCTTCATGTATGGTGCCTTGACAGGCCTGTATAATAAACATTTTCGGCTTGTAAGCAAGGCTTGGGCAATTTGACGATGACAAATGTCTGGTGATGTCCATGATCTTGCAGGTACCACCATCAACACCAGTGACAAAACCATAGTTGCCATGGGACAGAATACAGCATACAAAGGCATCATAATTTGAGTGGTCCTCTTCAGCAGCATTTTTAATCACTGTGCTCATCTCTTCTGCTGTTAAGTCCGATTCTATTTTGACAGTAAACCCCAGCTCTGTGAATGTATTTTTAAGTTTTTCTGTGAATTTGAATAAAGATAAGATGTATTAAATACATATTCATAGACTCGCAATTGAATATTTTTTTACATATTCATAAATATATTTATAAATAAAAAACTGGAAGGCTATGAAAATCACAAACATAATTTGTTTTCACACTCGCAGATTCCTCTTCTTTAACATTCAAAATTTACAGTATTAATAGGCCTATATTTATAGCATTACTGCAAGACGGTTGGAGTTTATCATCAAAGGTAAATATGTTCTATGCTACACAATGTATATTATGTCCTTTATTCAAACACTGAATTTACCCTTCTTTGATGATTTATATATAATTTAACAGTGTTAACGGCTTTCTTCCAACCAGTGACCTCTTTTATCATACAACTACATAATCAGAAACTTTGATGAACTACGATATATTACACCATATATATGTTAGGATTTGTATTACTATCTATTTGACATTATACGTGTGCCCAGTGCTACGCAGCTGCATGATTTGAATATATACTATACCAGTTAGTTGGTCACTATAACAACTCCCTGACTATACATATATATATTCTCCAAGTACACTAAATTTAATGCAGTGGCATTCCAAACTTATCAGTATAAATCATTTTAAGCTGCTCTAACACTCTTTTTAAAAAATACTGTCAGATGAGATGAAAGAAAATGTGTACATGCGTGGTTCATATCTCATCTTTGGACAGCCTTCCTTCATTTATTTTTAATGGTAAGCATACCACCCTAAAGTGGCAAAGAATGCATTTCCACGCACTAGAGAAAAATTCTATGGGGAGAGGACCTTATGCCCCTGGCACCCTAATGGGAAGACTTTTCAGGACAAAGTCTCATGCCTGCAAATGTCTAGCTTGGAATCTCTGCACTGTCTGTAATATGACAACAAACATATTGCTGAATAATAATTAATTGCTGGCCATGATCTGCCCACTGCTGCCTGTCTGCCAGCCTCAAAACTAGTCTCAGCAAAATGGTCTCACCTTCTCACTATCCAAAAGTCAGCTAATGAATATGTATTTTGGGAATCTAAATTAGGAATAACCATAACACATGATCTTAAATGGCATGCCCTAATTTTAACGTCCTATAAATCCGCACTTAAAAATTATTCATCCTTAAATAACTTAAACACCTGAAACCATGTAAATCCCACATTCAGTCTGCACTTGGCCAAAATGTTACAAATATAATCCTATGTATTGAAATTTTCCTTGAGAAAATCATTGATCCCTCTGCTTCTTCATCTAACTATCTCTGTGCTCACATCCGTTGTCATTGTTCTATTAAACTTGTGTCATAATATTATTCTTTATGTTCTCGCTAAAATTACTCAATCGGCTGACCATCCCTTACATTCATTTCTTCCAGCTTGACATCTCCTTCCATCACGTTACTCGACATCTGCTTTGCTGTCCTTCCATGCTCAAACTTCTTGATTTCCCACTTCTGTTTTTTCCCTTTGCTTTGTGCCTTTCATGTAAACTCACTCTCAATCCTGCCATATCCTCTCCTACAGACATTAGAACCACTCTCTCTATGTAGGCCCCCAAGTTTAAATTAACCCTTGTATATATTGTATTGTATTTATTATTAATGTTTGGCAGTTAATAGCTCTTGATGGCTGATGAAGCATAACAAATTGAATTGAATTAAATTTTATTTAATCAGTGGCAAACACAGGGGGTGCTCTGTAGGTACCTATCTGATGAAGCCTAAAAACATTTGGTCTTGCCCTAGAAACAAGGCCTGCTAACCTACCAGGCCTATTTATGGATATCATATAGAGACTTAGTCTACCTAACTTTCAATTAAATAAAATTAAAAACACTGTTTTTTGTTTGACCATGGCTTGA